TCCTGCTATCCTGCCCTTTTCTTAAACCATATCCGTTAGCTCCCATAGGGCATGACTGAGATAGGTGTGGTCGATTGTATGTACATCTATTACTATTGAAGGTAATTCAAAATGCTTATATCTCCCTTCTCGAATGGTAAATAATGATAATCTTTATTAACTGGGTACCTCGTACCATTCTTCACCTTGCTTATTTTACTTACTGCCACTCGTGTCTAACTCCCGATTCCGTTATTCCTTTTTACCGTAAGAGTGGACAATTATGCTTTCCTAAAAGCTCCTTATCAAGAATCGTACACCTTTTAGTACACACATGATCTGCTGAAGACCTCACATTTACTCATCATAAGCAAGATGCAAAATCGAGTTCCTCTAACTCAACAGTTCCATATCTATATCTCTTATCTATCGTCTTTCTGAATGTAGGCATAATCTTATTACGAATAAAATAGAAGTTCGGAATCTGAATTCTTATAAGTGAGCTCTACCACACGATCTAGTGCAAGAAGAAAGAATGGCAGTCCTAAATGCCATGTAGCCTCCTGCTTATTAGTGTGGTGCACAACACACCCATAAACAAGACTCTACTAGACACGGTTTGTAGACTCCCTAGGAAAGAACTGCTCTGATACTACTTCTGTCACGCCCCGAACCTTGGGGACGAGATCGGCACCCGGTGCCTCACCTATCCTTGCATATCAACTTGCGACCAAGGAACTCGGAACATGTGATGTCATACTTTGGCCATGGGCCACATTGCAAGAAAACTGCAAATGCTGACTAAATATCATTATAAAGCTAGGCCAACAAGACCGTCATAATTATTGTAGCTGACAAACCAACCAAATACACATACCAGGCCTACAAGCCCAACATGCTGCACTAACTGATAAGATATGTCTACAAGCCTCTACTGGTGGATATACTGTGATTAGAATAGTCCCCGACCTACTCATAACATATATACACATATACACAAGATGTACATAAAGCTCTAGACCCAGTAACTCCGAAAGGCATGGAGTTCATCGATCAAGCTGAACTCGGGCAACACTTAATGAGGAGGCCTACCCATATATTTGTCTGAACCTGCACGCATGAAATGTAGCGCCCCCAGAAAAGGGACGTCAGTACGAAATAATGTACCGAGTATGCAAGGCAATATACTGAAAGCTGAAACTGATCTGATAATATAATAAGTGCAAGTAGCTGGAAGTCAAAGATAATTTGAAGATATGCTTGCCTGCTGATATTGACTCAACCCTCTCAATATAGTAAGTAAAATAGAAGTTCGGCCCTATAAGGCTCAGTATATATATATAACTGCTCTGCCGTAGTAGGCTCACTCATATGCGCTCGGCCATACTAGGCTCTGTATCTCAACCAACTGGGCTTTCTCATGGGCGCTCGGCCATAGTAGGCTCGGTATATAACTTACCATCTGATAAGAGGTTGCCCAATAGAGGCCTGCCCATCGATTATAGCTCGATGGTTATGAAATACTTTTAATACTGTATATATGTAAACTTTCTGCTCTCTTGACCGGAAGAAGAAAATACTCAACTGAATATGCAGTCCTGATAAGAAGAATATGGTAACTTACAGAACTAGGAAAATATATGTGATTTGCGAGACTAGCAAAATATACGTAAATTTTGGGATATGAATATTTCTTTATGTCTCGTTATCAAACTTGTGTAATTATGAGATCATGCTAAAATGAGAAAAAAGCTTAGACTTAACATACCCGGAGTAGGAAAAAATCAGTATGATGTTCTTGAAAAAGATTACATCGTACTCCCTTAAAACCGCAAAATTTTATGTTGCTAAATCTTGTTGGAATTATTTGGTTAAGAAGATTTGCTAAACGTTTTCCCCTTCCAATTGTAATGCTTTGGTGTTGAGAATATTAGAAAATGAATTTGCATCTGATCGATGAGAATGGATTTTGGAGAGTTATCAAAATGATTACGTTTTCTCCTCCACTTTCTAATTGAAATCTCTTTGATAATTGAATGTCTTGGAAAGTGTAGTAAAGGTGTGACTATATGCCACCTAATAAGAATGAATCTTTAGTCATTTCTTTGTAATGTATCTGACTGCCATGTTTTGGGAGTGGAATTTATTGATCTTTATCCACTTATTAGTTAATTAGGCAATATTTTGTTACCTAAAAATTAACCAATTACCCGCATAATTAAGAATTGTCTCAAATTACCTAAAATTCTACTTATTTTAAATATATTTTATATATTTTAATATCATGGTCATATGGTACCTTTCATGGTACTAGTCCATAAATACCGGGTATAATAGCTCGGATCGTAATTTTTTCTCCAAAATGACAGCTTTCGATGAAACTCATTTTCTTCGATTTGCTTACCCTTTCACCTTCAAGAACTTACTTATCCCTTGTTTAACATAGCATAATACTTATAATTTCAAAATAATCTCATTTTCGAGCTTACGTCGATTAACTTATGACGAAACTTTAACGTACAAAAATGTGGGATACAACATCTCATTTTCGAGATTTCATCAATTTATTTATGGCATACTTTCACGCACATAAATATGGGGTGTAACACAAATCGAGGCATACATTTAATATAGAGAATATTTATGTAGCTTATTTTCAATTGCAACCATAGAAAGCCTAAATTATCACTTCTGGTGATCATAGACATATACCACTTCTGGTGGTTAACAAAATATAGTTACAATGAGATATACGAAATATAACCACTTCTGGTGATTGTATATTTCTTGCAAACTCTGCTAGAGTTTAAGTTGATCTAATAATGTTGTCCATATTCTTCAAAATGACATAAATAAGATATATTATACTAAACATCATTATTAAATCATAACTTTTATTTATGTACAACAATTACATAACCATACCATCTATTACAAACAACAAAAATTAAAATATTTATATTTCTACAGATTCACCACCGATCACATGACTTGTTTCTCCATCTAGGAGTGCAAGGTAATCAGCTACATCCAAATGCATGAAGTCTAAATTATCTTCAGAAATAAAATTTGCTTCATCTTTTTTCTCTGTCTTCTTTAGGGAGGCTTGATAAAGCTCAACCAAGTGCTTTGGCGTATGACAAGTACGTGACCAGTGCCCTTTTCCTCTACATTTATAGCATGCATTTTCTGTATTTGGTACTTGCACCGCTTCATGCTTTTGTTCCTTCCTTTTCCACTGCTGGTGGTGAGGAGGGTTCTTCGGTGCATTATTATTATTATCATAATTAAAATTTCTTTCCCAACCACAACCATGACCACGACTGGGTGCACGATCTCTTCCACGCTTAGCTTGGTGGAAGTTCGTCTCATTCACTTCAGAGAATGGACAAGAACCAATAGGTTGACTTTCATGATTTTTCATTAATAGCCCATTATGTTGCTCGGCTACAAGAAGATGTGAGATAAGTTCAGAATACTTTTTGTATCCTATCTCTCGATATTGCTGTTACAGGAGCATATTCGAGGCATGAAAAGTGGTGAAAGTTTTCTCCAACATATCATGATCAGTAATATTATCACCACATAATTTCAATTGGGAAATAATTATGAACATAGCAGAATTATACTCACTTATAGATTTAAAATCTTGCAGCCTTAGATAAGTCCAAACATAACGTGCCTGTGGAAGAACGATCATCTTCAGGTGGTCATATCTATCTTTCAAATTATTCCACAGTATGACTGGATCTTTAACAATAAGATATTCCATTTTCAGGCCCTCATCAAGGTAATGGCGTCGGAATATAATTGCTTTTGGCACGGTCTTGGTTTGATGCCTGATTTTTATCCTTGATGATGTCTGCCAGACCCATCGCATCAAGATGAATTTCAGCATCAAGCACCCAAGACATGTAGTTTTTGCCCGATATATCCAGGGCTACAAATTCAAGTTTAGAAAGATTTGACATTATATAGAAAAAGAAAATTTGTACCTCAGATAATTTCAAAGTATTTTCTCGAGATGGCAAAGTCTCGTGCTGATAACGTGTTATAAAATAAAGGCTATAAAGTAAAGACAAGTATAGAGAGAAACTGATATATTATTCAACTTCAAACTATTGTACATAATAAACTGAAATCTCCTCTATTTATAGAAGAAATAAAGCCACTATGTAAGCTGCTACTGCAAGCTGCTGTGTAAGTTGCTACTGTACCAGATATAGATAATCTTCAACTGGGGGTAATGTTTATCCATAACGGAGTACCGAAAGGATAAGCTTATTGTACCAGGTATGGATAATCTTCTACCCGGGTAATGTTTATCCATAACGGAGTATCGAAAGAATAAGCTTATTGTATCAGGTGTGGATAATCTTCTACCGGAGGTAATGTTTATCCATAACGGAGTATCGAAAGGATAAGCTTATTGTATCCGGTATGGATAATCTTCCATCGGGGGTAATATTTATCCATAACGAAGTATCGAAAGGATAAACTTATTATACCCGGTATGGATAATCTTCTACCTTGGGTAATATTTATCCATAACCGAGTACCGAAGTGATAAGCTTCTTCAGGAGGCTTATTTCCAATAGAGTACTAAATAGATAAACATATTTACGGCGGAGTCTCATATGGATAAGCTTCTTTAGGAAACTTATTTATAATAGAGTACTAAATGAACATCCATAATATAATATATTTATAACAAAAGATAATATTTTTTTTATGGCTCTACTATTTTTTAAGAAAATAAGAACTTTATACTTTACATTATGGTTGTTAAATTATCTTAGTATAAAATTACAATTTTATGCGTCTTTTGAAAAGACATTGAAAGTTAATCAAGTAGAATTTAAATCAAGAAAAAATAAAAATAATCCAGATAATAAAACAATGTCTAATTCCAATTTCATGTAATAAATTAATTAAACATTTGTATAGCGTAGTCTAGTTGGTTAGCTATCTGATTATTTTTTCTTCTTTAATTTAATATAAATAAACCAAAGGAAAAGGAGTTCAAATGGGGGGTTTATGATTCAGCTGCAAACTCTAGTGTGGAAACTGTAATTTACCCTTTCTTTTTCCTCAACAAAGGCGCATTAGGTTTTAGACCAGAGCTTGTTGCGTTGGACATGGAGGTACCGGCAGAGATGGCGAAGGCCGAAAGCGGTGAGTCATCAACCATAAGGATATATGTAGGAGGTTTAGGCGAAAGTGTAACGGCGGAGGATTTGAAGAAGACATTCTCAACACCACAACTTGGAAAAGTGGAATCTATGGACATCGTTCGAACCAAAGGCCGCAGCTTTGCTTACTTGGATTTACTTCCTTCTTCCGATAAATCCTTAGCCAAGCTTTTCAGCACGGTATAAATATCTCTCGATTTCAATCTTTATTTTAGCTGTTTTTCTTAGTAACTCAGCTAACTTTTTGCTGTGCTCTAAGGTGTATGGTAAATTGCTTTCTTTTATTAGATAAAGAGTTTAAGTTCTATGAAAATATTTTACAGAGGTCATTTCAAAGATAATTGGACGGTAGTCTATATTGATGGGTAGCCTAGAGTAAGTGGCAAATAGCTTGCTATAACAGGTTAAATTACACTGCTAGTGTAAAAAATTCAATGCACTGTCCGTGTATATAACTTAAATTCTTAGATAAATAGGTGCTGTGCAAGACAACAACAAGCCCAGTGTAATCCCACAAGTGATATGGGGAGGGTAGTATTTTTTAGTGCTTACTGTTGTCTATTGTATAAGGGTTTTCATATGTGTAATTTATATAATCACGTTGAACTTGCAGCAATAGCCAACACTCTACATAATTGTATTATCTTGATGCTTATTGGCCGTAATTCAATTTGATCTGCAGTATAATGGATGCATGTGGAAAGGTGGAAGACTTAGAATAGAGAAGGCAAAGGAGCATTTTTTCCTTCGTTTGAAACGTGAGTGGGAAGAAGATGCTGCACTTGCCACTACTTCTGCCCATCTTCCCGATACAGAAGAAGATGCCCATCTTGCCACTACTGCAGCTGAAATGATAAACTCCCTTAGATATCAGAAGAAAGGGTCCAAGATGGACGAAATGCAGCTTCGGATGTACTTCCCTAAGTTAGGAAAGGTAAATCCTTATTTCCCTGTGCTTGGTTATGACATGCTTCCTGGATGCAATTATTCTTGAATTACATATGGTGGGAAAGATGACTTGGATATTCATGCTTTACATTTGAATGCTCTCTCATTTAGTAAGGCTATGCCTCTTTTATGTCAAAAATCATGCTTCTGGAATCTCTTTGTACAGTTAAAATCAGTGCCTTTTAGAGGAACTGGCAAGCACAAATACAGTTTTCAGCGAGTGGACGTTCCTTCATTACCTATCCATTTTTGTGATTGTGAAGAGCACTCTGGTCCTCCTCATACAACCAAGCAAAAATCATTTGTTGATTATGACTCAAAGAATGTTGGAATCGATGAGAAAGAGCTGAACATTATGAACTCAGTGTTGAACAAAATTTTTGAGCGAGAGAACTACTCTGAGCAGGCTCCTAGGGGTTTTAAATCATCTAAGGTAGTTCGAGGCTCAAAAGTTACAGTTGATCATTTGAAGAATGATAAGAATCTAATCAACCAAGAAATGGAAGATGGTGATAACCTCATTCTCAATGTGGTGGCTGGTGCAAATGATAGAACCACTGTGTTAAAAGATCCAACACAGGAAGCAATGAAAGCTAATGAGAATTTTGTCGACCAAGAAATGGACGAAGATGATGATAACCTTATTATAAATGTAGTGGCTGGTGCAAATGATAAAACCACTATGTTCAAAGATCCAACCCAGGAAGCAATCGCAGCTCTTCAGGTTCATATTCTGTTATGTTCTACATTTGCGTTCCCTACACTTTCTAAACAAGGTATTAGTATCTCAGTTTTCTTGTTCCTTTTGTGCGTGCATGTTTGCCCCCAGAATTTGCTATCCAAGGAATCGCGACTTGCTACAGATAAACAAAGGCAAGGAAGGAAGATGTCTTCCAACAGAAAGAGAAAAGCACCTGCAGAAGATGAAGATGGCGAGGCACATACTTTGCCATCTAAACCTGAAGCAAAGAGAAAAGCACCTTCAGAAAATAGTAGTGCCACATTGCCAAAGAAGTCTCCATGGAAAGATCTCGTTAGTGCAAGTAGTGGTGCTACGTTCAGTGTATCGGATATTCTGCCAAGTGCTATTCCTGGTAAAGAGATGCAGTCTGGCTCTGAAGGTGTTAGTGTGTCCTTCTCTGACAAAAAAGATGAGAAAGTATCAGATCAGTATGACAAAAAAGATCACATTAGCGCGAGTAGTGGTTCTACATTCAGTGTATCAGGTACTCTGCCAAGTGCTATTCCTGGTAAAGAGATGCGGTCTGGCTCTGAAGGTGTTAGTGTGTCCTTCTCTGACAAAAAAGATGAGAAAGTATCAGATCAGCATGACAAAAAAGATCTCGTTAGAGCAAGTAGTGGTGCTATGTTCAGTGTATCAGATGTTCTGCCAAGTGCTATTCCTGGTAAAGAGATGCAGTCTGGCTCTGAATGTGTTGGCGAGAAAGATGAGAAAGTATCAGATCAGCATGAAGAGCTGGGTAAAGTTGCTGAAGATGCAACTGACAATGTTGATGGCCCTGTGGATCTTTATGCCAGAGGTGCTGCATGGCGACAAAAATTATCGTGGACACAGTTGGTTCGTGATACCACCAGTTCTTTTAGCATTTCACAGGTTTTGCCTGGTCTAAGTTATCCAAAATCAGAGTTGGCAGTGATGGGAGTGACTGTAAAGGTTCAAAAATGTAGCAGCACGGGTAAAAGCGATTTCCAAGATACTTCTACATCTGAGGAAGGGACCAAAGCTGATGCTCTCAGTGTCCCTGGAACTAGCAGTGGGGGTACCATAGTAGAGGAGCAGAAGAATGTTCATCTCAGTAAAGAGCTTCCACATCTGGATAATTATCAGCAGAAAGGAGAAGTAATGAATGAAGCCTTGGCTCCAACTCCTGAAAAGAAACACCTATCTGCATCAAAACAAGCATTTGTAGGAGATACTAGCTTCAGTGATACTTGTTCTTTCATGAGGAGTGCTGCTTCAATGAAAGAGTGGACAAAAACAAAAGCAGCACTGAGTGGGTCACTCAAGAAGAAGGCTAACGAGAAAAAGTAGTGGAGATTTCAGAATAGCTTCTTGTAAGATGTGACTGCTTCAAGTTACGTAGACGATGCATTAGGTGCGTAATTCTAATTTCAAGTCAGTTGTCCTATTCTTGAAGCTACAGTTTTCCATTTTAAGTTTATATATGGATGTTCTTTTGTCTGTAGCCTGTGTTGCATTGTAGTATGCTTATGGAAAGTTATAAAGAGAAGATGCCGCGTATTTCGAAAAGCAGAGATATCAAGATATCAGAGCGTTTGGTAAATGATTGTTCCTTTGGCACCAGTCTTATGAAGGCCGCATGCAAAAAGTCATTGCGGGTGCTAAACTGTGGCAGCTCTTATAATATGTCAAGCGAAGTACTAAATACCATAGCACTATGAGATTCCTTTGATTTTTGTCATATGCCTAAAACATAGAATATACAGATTTTGGTTGTTGATCTCAAACTTTTATTTGAGTGGACAGAGCAGAAATTTTGAGAAGCTGTCATATGACTTTGGATTGAAGAGACTGCAGAATTCTGTAATTGAGCCTGTATAGCCATCTCGGGAAGGCAATGTTTTAGTCTGTATAGCCATCTCGGGAAGGCAATGTGTGTGTGTGTGTTTTATTTTTTTAAGAGAAATGTTGGATGAATAATTCTTGACCAACAAAATGTTGAAGACTTGAGAAAAGACTAGTAACAGCTGAACGTCTCACCTGAGTGCCAAAATTGTTGAATTTGTGTAATCCCACTTTGTTTTTGTTTTTTTATTATTTAAATTTATAAAATTTGTATAATCACTTAATTATAACTTTAGTACATTCTCTCATGTGTGAGCCTGATCTTTTTTCATTTGCAAACACGTGATTTTTTTATTTTTGGATAAAGGGTGATTGTGAGACTCCAATTGATGGTTGTGACTTGTGAGTCTTGATACCAGGAGCTCTACGTAAAATATTCTTATTTGGGGTGTGAGGGTGACGAGGGAGGAATAGTTGTGCCCAAGTGATCTCTATTGATCGTTTATTAGTTATTACTAGGATTATTTTTTTTTATAAGTGAGGGATTTTGTTTTTAACCATAGTTTGGATGGTATACTTTAGGAACAACTGAGTTCTGAATTAGTCGAGCCAATGAGTTTCGCATATCAGATGGTTATACCCAAAAATAAGAACTTTTATTTCATGATCAGACCAAGAGTAGTTTCATGAAGTGAAATATTTACACAAGTAACCTATTTTCTCTGCTTCCCTCTCCAATGTAGAGCAAACTTCAATTCAAGTAAGATAGATCGAGTCCAAACTTTAGACAACAAGAGTATCAATCAGTTTCCTTCCCTTGGTCTCTATTGGGAAGAACAGAACACATGTTGCTGATAAAACAAGAACTGCTTCAAAAAATATGATTGCAGCCATTTGATGAGAATCCCTTATTAATTGCACAGCTATGATTGGAGAAATCATCGCCCCTATTCTTCCCATAGAACTTGCCACTCCAATACCAGTTGACCTTACACTCGTTGGATATATCTGCATAATGAAGAATATTATATTGACAAACAAAATTCTCTAAACAGACGTTTAAAAAGCTTAGATTCTTATAGTTAGGCGACCCGGTGCACAAAGCATCCCGCATTGACGGAGGGTACAAGGAAGCGCCACACCCCAAGGGGTTTGATGTACTCGTGATTTATAGGTCACATGGAGACAACTTTACCGTTGCTCTAAGGCACCCCTTCAGTCGACATCTTAATATATGCACAACAAAAAGTGTGCTGAATTGCATTATGCTAAGGGGCGAGGGTTACCTCTCGACAGTAGACAGATGAGATGTCGAAGTTTGCTGTGATTAACATACGTGCCCCGAATAGTAAAGTCGTAGTTAAAGACTCGTGAAGCCGAGACATAAGAAGCGGTAAAAGGAAGAGGATGCAGAAGATATACATAAGTGCCATAGTAAATTTCCGACCACCTTTCTCCACCATTATAGCTGATATAAGAAGCCCAGGAATCTCTGAAAGTAGAAAAAAAAAAGCAAATAACTGAATGATTAGTCGTATGTATGAAATGCTAAGTTGCTCCGGATCTAGAGGTCGGATCCTTCGAAATGTAAATTCTAAGATTCGGAGATATGAATCCTAGTACGGATACGGGTGCGGGGATGCGGCTAACAATAATTTTAAAAAAAAAATCTCCTAAGTCTGAAAAATTTGTGAATATTTACGTATAGCTTGTAAAGTATAAATTTCTTTTTAATTTTCAAGTTGTAGATAAGCAAATTATTTCCTAGATAAGATATGCTATTTTCTTCAAATTAACCCTAGTTTTGGTTATGATTTCGGGAATCAAATTGTATATCGTCTCGAATTTTTCCATCCGTCATGGTCAAAGTACCCAAAACTATTTGACCAAATCCAGTACGGATCCCATACTCACACCCATACTAGTGTCGCGTCGACACGGATACGACACCTAAACTGCCGTGTTTGAGCAACTTAGATGAAATGAAGGAAAAACAACATTGTTTTTACCTGCAAGACTAGTGATGAGCACATTCCTATAGAGGCTCTGATCATTGTTCATATACAAAGCAACTGATGAATGTCTACTTTGTTCACTGCTAAACTGTGAGGTTAGCAATATAATGCCATAATATGAGAATGTATTTCCAATGAAAACCACCCATATGAGGAGGGTATTTCTTCGTAACGAGGGGGACAAAAGCATCAGTAGCGATGAGAAGCCTGAGTTAAAACTTGAGGTTTTGTTTTCTCCAGGGGAAAGCAATTCCTCATTCAGGTCAGTCACTTCATCAGAAACAAGCATTCCAGGGGGAAGTTCTGTCTTATTGACCTCAGCTATTTTCCTCAAAATATCATACGCGTCGTTTATTCTACCTTTGGCACATAGATACCTTGGAGATTCTACTGTAAAAATGTACAAGAAAAGTGCTGCAAATGATGGTATTGATGATAAAGCCAGTAACCATCTCCAACCTAATGTTGGCATAATCACCTGCAACAGAAACCAGGAGAATGCCATAAGTTTTTTCAAGCGTTACTTTCTTTGTTTTTTCACAAACAACTTCATGGATTAGCAGATGGGGAGCCATGTGATCTATATGTTAGGGGTTCGAGCCGTGGAAGCAACCACTAATGCTTGCAGTAGGTTAGATATGCCTTGTGCACCGGGTTGCCCCTTTTTCCAACGGTAAAGTTGTCTCCATGTGACCTATAGGTCAGAGGTTCGAGCCGTGGAAGCAGCTACTAATGCTTGCATTAGGGTTGACTGTCTATATCACACTCCTTGGGGTACGGCCCTTCCGGGACCTTGCGTGAATGCAGGCTGCACCAGGCTGCCCCTTTCCAACTTCATGGATTAGCACACTGAGTACAGGTAAGCATATGGTTAAGTCATATGTATTCCCGCTTTAATTTTTAACTGCTAAACTTGAATTGCTTCATCTGGTGTAAACATCGGGTGCAGGTAAGTATTTATCTAACGAAATGTTCTACTATAAGAGTATAGATTAAGGGGAGCACAAGCAGCGGATGTACCATTGCTAATAAAGCCTCAAGTATTGTTCCAATTGTCCAATACGCGTAATAGATAATCATCCACATGCCCCTATTTTTTGAAGGAACAAATTCTAGAAGCCAAGATCCGTATACATAACCTCCGCCTACGCCAAATCCAACCATCATACGTAGAGCGAGAAACCAAATATAATTTGGACAAAATGTAGTCAGTACTGCAGGCACAGCAGTCACTATTGCAATTCTCAGAAGACCATTCCTGGTTAAGGAAAATGAAAATAGATGGTCATTCAAAATGAAGTGGTGTGCCAAATTAAACCAAAGATAATGATTTTGTTATCTTCTCCTCAACATCCTTAATTTGTTGATTAATACCCTTAAATTTTCACTTAAGGGAGTGTTTAGTGTGAAAAATACTTTCAATTTTTTCATGTTTGGTTGGTTGAATATTCACTCTAGGAAAATAAGTTCCTTAAAAATGAGGAAACATTCCAAGTTGATTGTCTCCTCCCCACCCCCAACACCCTCACCCCACACCCACCCCCTCACTCCCACCCCTATCTAGAACCCGGCCCACCCATAAGCCCATCCAATCACCTTTGTTCCACTCCTACTCTAAGTAATGTGTACGCAGACCTTACCGCTATCTTGTGAAGGTAGAAAGACTGTTTCCGATAGACCATCGGCTCGAGAAAAACTTTTCTCTAGCATGTTTGAAAAAGACCAAATATAAGAAAATAAGTAAGAAAATCACTTATCTTTTGAGAAACATTTTCTACGAAAAATATTTTCTTTTATACCAAACACACCAAAAAATATGAACTTATGCTAGCTCAGCTGAGCTATTGCTAGACTCAATCATCCCACAACTGATTATTTTTTTGGAAAACATCCCAGATCCCAAAATAATAAACTAAACCAAAGTACAAACTTCTCCACTTTTATGCTTGTTCAAATTTATTCATCATGATAGATAAGGAGACAAACACCAATAACAAATTGGTAGTGTGTACGTAACCTTACTCCTACCTTGAGAAGGTAGAGATGCTCCTTCCGATATACTCTCGGCTCAAGTAAAAATGAAAAAAGAAGGATAAATAAGGAGAAAATAGGCTTGCCTTCTTCCATAATTGTCAGTGATAAAGCCCCAATAATAACATCCAATGAGCATACCAGCAAAAATAACAGTTGTTATAAGACTTTCTTGAGTAGGAGAAAGTTCCCACTCTGACCTTAGCACTGGTCCTATAAATGAGAGAATCATAATTTCAAAAGCTTCAGCCATGGAACCAAGACCAGCATAACACAAAACCAAATACTGGAATTTCCCAAAACCAAGTGATGTGAGTGCTTCATCCAGTGTATAGACATCCTGCTCCTCTTGCCGTGCCATCTCCGTCTAGTGATGATTGGAGTTCAGAGTTAACCTTCCACACAAGGCAGGAATAAGCTACTTACTTGAGTGAGTCGAAGCAAAATTAAAATTGAATCCATCTATATTAGCAATAATTAATAACAAACTGACGTGCTACATTCCATTATATTATATAGTATTCCATATATGAAAGTTAAAAGTTGCTGCAATCATATAGTTTTCTGATACATAAAATAAGCTGAAAATTTGTTTAGTATTGGATGAATGATTCATGCTGCATAATGTCACAGATATTTTTTAATGGGGTGAAGAAAGCGCATTTGCACCTACCACTAAACTCATTTAGCTCCAAAATTTACGGGCACTAAACAAATGATCGTTTGGTAATTTCTACATCTGTTTATATTGATACAATTTAAGAGAAGATTTAAAGATATGAATACTGATTAAGCACATGTTGAAAACATTTAGCATCATATTTTAACTTTGTGGTATGTAAATTTGAATAAAAATTTCAGACGATCTATAAAGGAAAAATAGAACAATTTTTTTAGATTAGACGAATACTATACTGCTGATTTGAAAATTTAAAACAACTGTGTGAGTTTTCCAAGGGGAGAAGGAGAAACAAAGTGTAAATAAAAGATAAAAATCATATTTGGTCCTTTTCACTTATATTCTCTGAAAAGGTCCTGAGATTTTTATTCAATAGAGAAAAAAATCACTTTTCATCATGCAACTTTTAGACATGAAAAGTCATTCCGGTTTCAGTCCGCCAAACTTAATGCATATATAAGAAAGTTGACTTAATGATTTAATGTATATATTTGCCAAATCACGTATTGGATTTGAAAAAAGAGTGGAAATGTTATTGTGTAGATGAGTTACCATTCTTGATTTTCTGATTTTGGTGTAGAATAACCATCTCAAATGTATCCTGATTTGTTAACTGCTAAAGTTTGGGCTGAATTTTCAGGGGCCAATAGCTCATTAGAAGCAAACGCTGCTTAAAACCTCGTCTACAGACTTCAGTTTGTCAATTTAATATGCTTTATTATGCAGCTATATCCGTTCGACGACGGAAGCTATCCATCTGGTGAGGAGGCTAGTGGAGGGAGAGTAAGAAGAACTTGCATATGGTGTTCATTGACCTTGAAAATGGCGTACGATAAAATTCCGAGGGAGATTCTGTGGAGGTTAGCGGCGCCCCGGTAGCGCACGCTAGGATGATTAAGGGTGCCATCAAATGGCTGCAATCATATTTTTTGAAGCAGTTCTTGTTTTATCAGCAGCCAGTGTTCTGCTCTTCTCAATAGAGACTAAGGGTAGGGAACTAATTGATAATCTTGTTGTCTAAAGTTTGGACTTATTTCATTGTACTTGTATTGAAGTTTTCTCTCCACATTGGAGAGGAAAAGAAATGTAAATAAGTTGGTATCATTCTCAATTACTTGTGTCAGATTGGTCGAGCTGCTGATGCATTAGATGTGCTATTTTTAGATGCGAAACATATGCTATTTTTAGATGCGAAGCACCCTTTTTCCATTCACAGAGACATCCAATCGTCAAAAAATAAAAGGGCTATCATGGATCCGAAGCACCCATTTTCCCTTTAATAAAGAGATTTGATCGTTAAAATAGATTAAAAAAACTACTCTCTCCGTCTCATATTATCTGTCGCGCTTTCTAAAACTAGTTATTTTATATAATTTGTCATTTTAGAAGTTCAAGATAAAATTAATTATTTTTTTCTTATTTTATCCTTAGTAGTAATTGTTCTTGAAGATGGAGATGACACATAAATAGAATAAATATTTCATAAAGACAGATTATATCTTAAGACATAAATAAGTATAAAATAGTCAAAAGTTCCTTCTAATTAATGTTTCTTAAGGGTTGTGTAAAAGAAAAATATGACATATAATTTGAGATGGAAGAAGTATCATGGATCAAGATCCAAACGGATCAACTTCGTTAGAAAGTACTACCCAAGGGAAGGAAAAAAGAAAAATTGACACCTGATGACAATACATAAGGGGAATTGGCAAATTTTTAGCCTTATATTAGATTTTGGCAAAAGTAGCCCCAAATAATTAGCATTTTATAGCCAAATCCTAAAAACTACCCTATTTTATTATTTATTCTCCTAACCGTTTGCTGCTCTCCCTCTTATTGTTCGCTGGTCCCCCTCCCCCTTCTTGTTCGCTGCCTCCCCCATTCCCTCCCTCCCTCACTATTCCAAATGAGATTAAAATGGTGGATTAACTCTACCATTGGTTTACTCAGTATTACCCATCAAGTACAGAGGAGCGAAGCTTTAATATAGAGCGACAAATTAATATGTGCATACAATTCTTCGAGGTTCAAACATACATACATACATACATACATACATACATACATACATACATACATACATACATACATACATACATACATACATA